CCCAGCCCTCCTGCCCTGAGCCCCACCACAATCCAAGCCCCTTGGCCCCAGCCCTCTCCTGCATCTCAAATGCCTCATCCCCAGAGCCTTCATCTTCCCAGCCCTGAGCCCCTCCCGCACAGCCCGTGTGGAATGAATTCTCACATGCACCAGTGTGGAGGTCACGTGTCTCATCTCCATACTGGTGCACAAAGTCCATTCCGCACAGGAACATGCCGAATTAGAGGGAACCCCGGGGATCAGAGTCCTTCCCTGGCCTGGGGGGGAAGCATGAAAGCCAACAGCTCCTGGGGGAAGGGAGCGCCATGGCGGGGATGGCAGAGCAGGGCTGGGCGGGAGCTGCCGAGGGCAGGGCAGTTGCATGGTTGCGCCTGTTGTGACCAGATGCAGAGAGATCTGGCAGCGCCCGAGTAGCCGGCTCCTGGCCCTGCTTCCTCCAACAGGCAGTGGCTCCGGCTCCCTTCCTACCCATGCTCCAGTCACTGCCAGGGCCGCTCGTCCCCCATCTCAACTCCTCAGGGAGCCTGTCTGGGGGCAGTGCCCAGCTCCCACCAGACCAGCAGGCTGACTCCTCCATCCCCAGGCAGCCAGTGGGCTCTGCAGCCACCCCCCAAAGACAGCACCACCCCCAGAGCTGCCGTCCCCTAGACTGGGGTGGGCAGTAAGCCGGAGGCAGTCTGCCAGGACTAGCCCCTGGAAGGCCACCCAAAGCGGGAGCCAAACATAAGAGCCTCATTTTGCTGGGGCCATGCAAGGCCCCTACACTTGTCTCACCTCCAAGCGGCGGATGATCTCGCGGAGCGGAAGTGCCGACTCATTGCCGCCAATGAAAGTGGTCGTGGGCAAGTGGAAGACCTTGTCGAGGTCCGATTCATCCAGGCCATAGAACCCTGCAGGATTTTCACGGGTAGGACAAGCCAAAGCAGGAAGGGGGTGGGGTGGGGTGGGGTTTCGGACACAGTCGCACAGGAACCAGGGGTGTGGGGAGGACGACAAAAAAGCAGCACAAAAACCAAAAATAAGCATGAAGGAGGTTTGTGTGGATAAAACCAAGCAGTAATTAAACAGCCACACGAGCGCGGAACAAAAAGGTTATTACAAAAGCACACAGGCAACCCCAGGATGCAAACTCAAAGCAATATATATGCATGTAAATCGGTAATTAAATCGAATTGAATTGAGATGGATTGAGTCCCACAGACACAAAATACACGTTAGGAATAGAATGTAGGGGAGAGGAGGAGGAGGAGGAGGATTGCCCGAGTCATTGAGCAAACAGATTTCACCACATGTTCAGCATCAACAGCACAAAGTTGAAGCAGGAAACAGAGAGGTTAGATGGACCGAGCCCCAAAAAGGAACAAGGAAGGAAGACAGAGAAAGCCGTCAGTGTCAGGGCTCTGCAGCGGACTCTCCTGAATAGCTCACCCCGGGGAGAGAAATACTTTACAACACACAGGACCCATGGACTCTGAGCACAACCCTCCTCGCAGGCAGGCGGGAGCTACTGGTCCCGGGAGATGGGCCCGCTCAGGCCTACAGGGCTTAAGCGTAGCCAGCCTTGGAGTCTGTTCTCCCTTGTGCACCCAGGGGGGGGGGGAGAAAAGGGGAGGAGAAATGCTGAAACCTTCAGCATAGTAGATGGGAAATTTCAGCTTAAAATAAATTCCCCGTGTCAGGGAATCTCCATGGGACTCAAACCCAGGGCCTGAGGCAAAGGCCAGGCAAGGGGAGCCGAGGGGCTCAGAACAGCGCAATGCTGATGCACCAGCCCAGCCCGAGGTAGCCCCTTACCGATTAACCTGCACTGCAGTCCAGAGAGGTTACCGATTCAGCCCTGCATGTGCCTCTACCAGCAGAGAAGTGAGCCCAGAGGCTTCTCTCCCACCAGCCTGCCCTGACGTTACCGGAGCGGAGCGCTGGCTTAGGAGTAGGAAGCCCCATCCCTGCCCTCTGGGCAGATCAGGCAGGGGGAGTGTCTGGTCAGTACCCCCCCCCCCATGGGACTCGGCCCTGCTCCGTGCTCTTGGGTAGGAAGCATTCGGTAGCTTTGAGACTAGCAACCCCTCCTCTGAGCAGAGGGCAAGTGTCCCTGAGCTGCAGTAACTGGGGCGGGCCAACAGGAGCCGTCCTGCGTCCAAGCCGTGTGCCTCTCCTCTCAGCTGCCACTTCCCCTCTGGGCAAGGGAATGCCATGCTAGTGGCCCTCCAGGGCTCCCCCGAGGACCTGGCAGCGCCACCTCTGAAAGGGGAAGGCCCTTTGTGCGCATGGATTCACAGGGCAGCAGCGAGGGAGGACGTGCTGCTTGAACATCAACGTTCCAGGCTGCGAAAGGGGCACGTCTAAATCCACCCCGATAGCCTCCCTGCTGCGGTTACTGTCCTGCCCTCTTGCCTGTCACTGCACCCCAGGGAGGGACGAGCGAGAGCTCAGCCTCCAGGAGCAGGGGAACTGAGGCAGCGAGGCCTTTCCTTTGGTAACAAGAAGCGAGGGAGGACGTGCTGCTTGAACATCAACGTTCCAGGCTGCGAAAGGGGCACGTCTAAATCCACCCCGATAGCCTCCCTGCTGCGGTTACTGTCCTGCCCTCTTGCCTGTCACTGCACCCCAGGGAGGGACGAGCGAGAGCTCAGCCTCCAGGAGCAGGGGAACTGAGGCAGCGAGGCCTTTCCTTTGGTAACAGCAAGCTGGGGCAGAGCTGGGACCAGGCCCCAGAATCCCGACCCCCAGCCCGTCCTAGCCACTAGGACGCACTTATTAACGGGCAGCGTGGTGAACAAATTGAAAACCAACAGGATTTGTGGTGCGCTGAAAGACCCGCCTAGCTCTGAAACAGCGTCTCACCTGGCCCAGGCCGAACACGGCCAGCCCTGGAAGCCTGCCCCATACAGGCTGCAGGACGACACCGGAGGGACTGGGGAGGTGGTTGCTGGGTGTCTCCGCACCTAGAGCGATGTCCACGGGCCGGTTAGGGCCCACGCGGCAGCAGACGCTTTCCACGAAGAATGCGTCCGAAGCCGAACCACATGGGAGTCCTCTTGCGCCAGCTCAACACTCCTGTCTCTGAAGGAGTGTGTCCGTCTGGGTCTCCCGCCACAGCAGCCCTGCCCCCCCGAACATGCTGTGCTACCTGAGGCCACACGGCACGTCAGACCCGGGACGGTTAGGACAGCCCGCTCGGGGGAGGGGGCAACCCCCCGCATCGAAGAGCCCGTGGCCGGTTGGCGAGAGAGCTCTGCTCTTCCAATGCTCAGATCTCAGTGGGGCTGGCCCCTCAGGCCTGCCCCCGGGGCTGCTGCACCAGAGCAGGGGGGATTCTGGGGAAAGGCAAGTGAGGGGCAGCATTGCAGTCAGCCTTGGGGGGCAAAGGGGCAGCCGCTCCCACTGGAGCGCCAGAGTCCTGCTGCACACGCTGCGGACACAGGTCTTCCAGATGCTCTGGCCTGTGCAGGCCGGAGTGTATCCCGGAGCCCACCGCCTCCAATTGGCATCAAGGGCAGATGGGCTCCAAGAGCACAGCAAGACTTGCTCCCCCCCACCCCACTGGCGCTCGCTGCTCACACCGCTCGCTGCTCACACCACTAGGTAAAGCTGCTGCTACATGTGCACAAACGACACTCACTGGCCCTGTGGGGGGCGTGGCCAGGCCACTGGTAGACATGGGGCCACGTGACAGCCCCTTGCTCCATCCCCATGACAAGCAGGCAGCCCCTGAGCAGCCCTAGGCTGGGGGTTTTCGGATGCCAGAGACAACGCCGAGCGCCTCGGGGCTGGTTACTAGCGCATCAGCCATTTCCTGCAGCCTAGAGCCAGCTCGGCCCAAACGGAAGGATCAGCAGAGCTACTGCATTACCCACTGGATATGGGACTGCAGCTCTGCTCCAGCCACAGCCCATAACAGCCACGGACACGCTACCTCTGGGCTGAGGCGTGGCCTCAGGAAGGCAGCAGATGCTTAATGCCACTTGCCCTTCGGAATCTGCACTAGGTGGGGCCCTCAGCCTGCTGGCCACGCTGGCAAGGGAGGCAGGTCAGAGCTGCGAGCTCGGCTTAGGGGCCGGGAGCTGCAGACTGGTTGCCTCCTCTTGCTCTGCCCCCACTGCTTCACCTTCCACCGTGGAGGGCGGGGATCTGCCAGGCCTGAGGACACCTGAGGACAGTGGGGCTGCAGTGAAGGTTCAGGCCTCAGCTCCCGACTACAGGGGCCTTCTGGCTTCATTCTCTAGTGCAAGGTGAAAACCAGGGTCAATGCTCAGGGCTGGTCTCAGCCTTGTTCCTCGGCTCACTCACTACGCTCCAGCTTGGATTCATGCAGCTGCTTCCAGCCCCCAGGGGCCAAGCCACAGAACTGGCTGCGGTGGGAGGGCTAGGTGCAGAGTCTGCACTCAGGCCATTTAGATCTAGATCAGACGCAAGTCAGGAGGGCAAGATCACAGGCTCTGAGGGCAGCAGGAAAGAGGAACAGGATGGGGCAGGGCAGAGTGGCTGGTCCCTTGCTACCCAGTCCCCGCTTCACCACGTTGCTGCATGCAAGCGGTCGAACAGCGCGTGGAGATGGGCAGGCTCTCTGGCCTTTCCCGGGGTTACTGTCCTCCGACAGAGAACTGCATCACGCAGACACCGGCCCATTTCCCAGAGTCAGGCGCTGAGCGCAGGGAGTCAAGGGCAAGGCAGACACTCCGCACCTCAGAAAGGTTGGTGGCTTAGAGGCTGCCACAGAGAAGGGTCTGGCCTTAGGTGCCCGACAGGGAAACTTGGCCTCCACACACACGAGTGAGTCAGAGGAAAGCTAAGCGGACCCAGTAATAGCAAACAAAGGCGCCACCCAGCTATCGTGCCAATTCCAAAGCAGGAGGTGGGGTCCCGGGAGGGACTGAGCACGATGAAGCAGGGTTTCTGGCAAGCGGACAACATGGAAAGTGCCTGAAAACGCAGGATCACAGTGAGTCTGTGCAAGCTGGCAGCAGCACTAGGCAAGCCTTTAGCTCAGACAAACATTCAAAAGGGAAACCAAACCCTGGAAACCACCCGCTCTGCCCATGCCCAGAATAACCTATTCGGAGAGTCCTGAGCGCCACAAGGGTTAAAGGCTCATGATTTGCATACCTCCTACTGTTAGCACGCTCAGCCGCTCCTTGAACACTGCAAGATCTGGGAGGGGAGGAAGGTGGGATGCAGAAGGGGAAGACAGAGAGATGCAGTTAAAGTTAGTAAAACCGGAACTGTGAAGAGAAGTTATGGAAAGCACAAGTTTAAGTATTTAAACATGGTCAAAACCACCTTAGGAGAGCAGGGTTAGGGGGAGGAGGGGGAGGATAACCCCGCACTATACTGGGGCAGAGATCCACAGCCGCAAAGAGGGTGCAGGTGAGAGCGAGGGGCATCGCTGACGCCAGGGAGCGAGCGAGCCGCATGGGTTGAGATCTCCTCTCGTCGCTCCCCTACACGGAACATGCACAGGAAGAGATTACAGCAGGTTGACAAGGAGCAGACCGAGCTCTGGAAAGACGTCCAAGCTGCCATGGCGGCATAAAGCCCTTTCCCAGGGCCCCACGGAGTGCCCGACCCCAGCAGGATACCCGGCCCTTTCTTCACTGCTAGCTGGTCAAGCTGGGACCTGTTTTGAAGGGCCCAGCTCCAATCCCTGCTGCTGGGGGGAGAGGGGCTTTTCAAGGTCACCCCACAGAGGAGAGATCTGCCGACAGCATTCTGCTAGAGCGAGCTGGCTGGCGAGGTGCAGTGCAGCTGCCCCAGACGACAGTGCGATGCACAGAGAAAGCAGGCTAGGCTCCCTGCTCGCCCGTCCTTACGGCGATGTGGTTCTGACCAGGGTCTCTGCCTGGGCACTCATTTCATGGAGAGCCACGCATGCAAAGTGCTCCCTGGCTGCGAGCATGCTGTGGACACAAGCAACCAGCCGGTGGGGAGCTGCAGCTGGCTAGCGGGGCCAACGCTCCACTTGTGGGTTAGAAAGGTCGGGGAGGCTCAAACATTTTCATAGCACGGATCACGAGACCCCCTCCTCCCTGCGGCAGTGGCACAGCTCCCCCAGGCCTGCGGGTAGCAGCGTGTTCCTAGCAGGCTGCGGCACGAGGAGCAGGCAGTTCTCAGCAGCGTGGTCTGGGCGAGACTGACTCGGGTAATGAGACTTTCAGGCCCGTTCACCCAGCCACGCCCACTCCCCCCCTCAGCCAGCCAGTCGCGTCCAATCACTGGTGGGCTTGCAGAGCGCCTCGGGCGACTGCCCGGCCATTTCTGAGCTGGGGGCAGATGCATCATCCTTCCTGTACGTCAGCCCCAACCCAGCAGCACGCCCCACGAGAGACGAGCCTGCTGGGAGATGCAGCCCAGGAAGGCCCATTCAGATTTGCTTGGATGTGCTTATCCGGCCAGAGGGCACTTCCTGGAGCTGGCTGGGGACTAGGAGCGGCTCCATAGCAGAACCCCAAGGGGGGCATCGACCAGCACAAGATGCTTGTTTGTACCCAGCTAAGCAGCGAAGCCCGACCTGAGTGACAGCGGAGAGTAGGGAGCGATCGAGCAGTTACGGCGGGGAGGGGGGAGCTGGCTCAGTGGCCAAATACCCCGCTAAAGCAGGCTGCGTTTGGAAGGGGGAGGAGGGTCTGGGAGCCTCTGGTCACACCACCCTGTATGCTGCCCAGTGAGCACACAGCCACACGGAAAGCCAATCTGCAGTCTTGAGCCTTTTGAGGTGGATTTTGAAGAGGAAGGGGAAACGGGGCCGCAAGCACCGTGGAGGAATGTGCCCAACAACCCCCGTGCAGGGGCACAAACGGGCTGGCTGGCTCCCTTGCTGCACCTTGATTTCAATACGCTCCCCTCAGCATCTGGCGTAGGGTGGGACTGGCCGTGAAGCCTCGAGATGCACTGTGGCTCCCTGCTACCACTATCCATCAGCTCACTCCTGGCAGCACGGAGTTTGGCTGGAATCTAAGGAAGGTCAGTGCCACTAACCCGCCACGGACCCAGCCGTAACCGTCTCCTCGCCCCGGCTGCAGCGCCTACAGGCTTCCCAGGGGGAATGGGGTCATGCTGGCCAACTCTGGGGGAGCAGCAACAGCCAATTGCTGTTTGAAAAACAAAAGCTGTTTCAGAACCGGCCGGGGCTCCCTCTCGATTGCTGCTCACGCCCAGCAGTGTCTTCCCCAGGCTCGAAGAGCAGAGCCCATGCTGAGGGGGGCTCCATGTGTTTCACTGCCTGGATGCTGAGAACAGGTCACATCACTAGGGCATAAGATCCACTGTCCACGTGAACTGCAGCCCACATGTCAGGGAAGCACGTCACCATAAAACCAAACAAGATTTGCTTAGAAATCAGCTTCCTATGCAACAAACAGGCTACCACCCGTCTCAGGCCAGTGGCCAGAATATCTGTATGGGTCTTGCTGGTGGCACCAAGTTTGCAGAGAAGGTCTCGGCCTCAACGACTGCGAGCGACCAGCCCGTGAAGAGATGGGCACAGAGGCCTGCTACCCACCCCCAGCTGCAGGAGCCGCAGTACAGGATCTCCTTAGATCGCCAATGCTTTGCCACTGGCATACCACCCCCCAGCAGCCCTCACACAGAGGCAGAAGGGTCTTTGCTCAGGTCTATGGGGTTTCACTGCTGGAACTGGGGTTTAGATTAAGAAGAACACTCCTCTCTCAGCCCTGCATTTAGACTACACTCCACTCTCCTGTACTGAAAGAGGCCCCGAGGGAAAAGCATTAGATACACAGACCCGTCTCCACCACGGCTACTCCCCCATCTGTGCGATTCAGCTCGCTAAGTGGGATCAGAACGAGGCCACTGTCTCATCCCTTGGAGAAAGGATGGGAAGGGAGACGCTCCAGTAAAAGTGGAGAGGTGGCCAGAGGGCAGCCAACAGGTTACCGGGGCACATGTGGCCCATGGGGCTCAGCAGCTGACCTCAATTTTATTCTGGAGGGCACAGGCCCAGCTGTGTAAGGAGCTGGACTGCCCTGATCCAAGCAGTGCAGCACGCTCTGACCTGTACGCCCCACAGTTCCACTTCGCTATATTCCTAAGGCTCGTGGCAAGAGGCCAGCCTAGCTCTCAAGTGGGCAGCTGCGGATGTCCTGGAACAGCAGAGCAAGGAGCCTGGTTTACTTGTCCCTAAGCTGTATCACGGGCCTGCACCTGCCCAACACAAGTCTGTTTTCGATGCAATAACTCCGAGTTACTCCACTTTAGTACCTCTACTGCGTCTCTAGCAGGGAGGTCTGGCCCAGGGGAATCACTGCCCGGCTGACGATGCTCTCTAGCTTGTGGAAAGCATCTAGTTTGGTCCTACTTCTTAGGTGGCCCAATCAGTACAACTTTGTTTACTTCCTTGGGCGGGGTGGGGCTAAGCAGGGAGCAGTGAGTAAGCTAAGCCTGCATAGCTGGGAGATGAGCTGGACGTTCACGTCAGCCACTGCTTTTTAAAACCCCTGGTGTGCGAGAGCTTTCTCGCTGGCACGCCGGGACCGGCCAGGGTCGTCCGCACACCCAAGGGTTTCTTTGCTGCACTGCATCTGAAGCTAGTACTCGCCTCCTCTTACACGCCAGTCTTTCTATTGGGCTAAGCCCTCCAGAGAAAGTCAGGTCACTACCTGCAGCATGACTATCTGTCCTGGACGGGTCCTCTGCTATCCCTGGCTCTGGCCTTTCCTCCTGGGCCCTCTCATTCACAAGGGGGGGGGGGAGGGTTCCAGCCCAGGACAGCTGAGTTGTTTTCTGTTAAAACATCTGCCACACGAGGCCTCCATCGGGCCCCAGGCCTGCCGCTCTGAAGCCTGCCATGCTGAGTCTGTCTGGGAAGGCAGACCACAGCCCTAGTCACAAGTTAAATCAGTGCAAGAACCATGCACAGCCCAGCTCTGAGACAGCACATTGGAGACTCAGTGCTCTCCAGACTGAAACCAAACCCACAGGGTAGAAGGGGTGCTCTGGATACTTAGCCCTGACCCCGTGCTGGGATGGGCCAGATGGCCTCTGGAGATCCCTTCCTGCTCTACATTTCTACAGCTCATCTCAAACCTCCCCACCAAAAGCACACCATGTCCCCCCCTCCTGCCCCAGGCCAGGGTCCCTTCTCCCGCCCAGCTCCTCCTCCTATTCGTGACTTCGCACAGAGGCTGGCGTGACTGCTGCCGTGTGCTCAGCATCGGCTGGGGCAGGGGCAGGAGCAGGAGAGAGCACACAGACATCGTCTCCACACCATTGGGACCAGAGGATGGAGGGAGCAGCAGGGACCCAGTTGCAGCTCCCAGACCCGCCAGCGCCACCACCACTTGGCAAGCAGCTCTAAGTTCCACGAGGGACGTGGGGTCCTTAGCGGAACCCACAGCCCGCCCCAGAGACCCAGCGCCGGCTCCCTCCTCGCTGCACTGCTGGCGGGACAGGTGGCAGGTGCAGCACAGCTGAGCCAGCAGAGGCCCCCACTGCACCACGGAACATTTCTGCAGGCCAAGTGCAGCCTGTGTCTAGCTGCTCTGCACTGCCCGAGACAAGGGGCTTCCATCTCGGTGCAGCATCTAGCCCACTGACCGAGTCTATTCCCACCCACAGCCCCCTGGCTGGAGCCTGTGTCCAGCCCTAGACATCGGCTTTGACGGGCGTTTCCTGAAGCCTCACGAGTCTCCCTGGGCTGCTCCACACACAAGGGCAGGGGGAGGGGAAAGGGGGCAGCCGCCCCATGCCCTAGTGATTCCAGGGGGCCTTGGGCTCCCAGCCACCATGGCAGCAGCGGGAGCCTGGGCCCTTTAAAATGCGGCTGAGTGCTGCACGGTGTGCTCCCGGTGGCTCCAGTTCTTTGACAGCATGGGGGTTTACTTTGGACACAGACTGAGCGCAGGAGCCCCTTCAGCCACCATCTGTGCTAGCGTCTGCCGACCCCTCATGTGTCCCTGCCACCTCGCCCTGGCCTTACGCCTGGCAATGCCCATTGGGGGAAGACACCCAGTTCTGAAGGGTGCCGGTGGAAATACCACCCCTCCTTTTTATTCAAGGACAAACACCCAGCCCGAGGAGCGTGCCAGACCAGAACAACCGGTTTACAACCGGACGCTCCAATGTCCTTCCTGTAACAGGATTCTTTGGACATGGCTGAACTTTACAGCCATCTTGTGTCTGATGCCTTTCAAATTCAGGTTCCCGACAGGATGAGGGCAAGGTAAGGTAACCTGCTAACGCGAACACCCCCGGCAGCTTCACACATTGACCTTAGGGACAGCTGGGGAACGGTGTTAAGAGCAACATTTAAAAGTAACTGGCCACTTGGGGGATGAAGTGATGCTCGGAACACGTTAATACATCCCCAGTCTAGGCAAGGCCTAGGATTAGCAGACAGGGCTGTAAGTGGTGTGTAGGCTTGAACTGCTGCATATCAGTAGGCTTTACGCGGTCTTCAATTCCTCCCTTCAAGGATTTGAGCCTGCTTGGCTCCAAGAGAACTAGCTGGATTCTGCTCTAGTTCATGCATCAAGTTAAACGTTTTCTGCAAAGCCAGAGAGCAGAGAACAAGAGCACAACCCCCACAGGAAACCCATTTTTAACAGCAAAAGTGAATCGATTTTCTTCAGTCAGTGCGGCAGAGACCAGCTAGGTCTCTGAACACAAGGCATTTCCCAGACGAGAACACCTCTCTGCTCAGCGTTAAACTGACTTGCGTTCTCAAGAAGCCTCTTCCATTTCATGCTGTGATACAAGGCTCAATTCTCACCCACACTAAGGCATCCTCAGGCTACGCTAGCAGCCTAAAGGGGCCTCAGAGAGCACAAACAGCCTCCTGGGAGCACAGAGGCCTCAGCTGGCGTAAGGTCCATGCAGGCCCATCCTGCCCTCTCAGCGGCAGGGTATGCACTGGATTTATGGCCTTAGCGCACTCCCACCCGGCTTTGCTCTCCAGCGCTTACAATTAAAGCAGCAGGAGGCGGCTCTAACGTACACGAGGGGCTACGCAGTCTCAGAATCCAGGGAACCCCCAAAATGGGGCTTCCAGCCAGCTTGGCCCTCCCACTCTGTCCCATAAACGCGGGCAGAGGAGAGTGAGACACCCACCCAAGCATTTCCATTGCTCACTAGTGCTGCCCAGTGACACTGCCAGCAGATAACAGATTGAACATTCCTCTTCTCTCCTACATCTGGACTCTTGGGAACAGCAAAGCCATCCCACGACGGGAGCCCAGCCGTGGAACTCGCCCTACCCAGGGCTCCCTGGCCCTCACGGCACAGCACCCAGGCTCCTCTTCGTAGACCAACATTTTCTGGGCATTGTGCTGAGACTGCGGAAGGCTTCCCAGAGGCGAAAGCGAGTCCCTCGTTACGCTCCCTAACCATCAGCACCAGCTAAGACTTGGTCTTGCTTTGAAGTTGTACTGGGCCATAAGGGACCAAACCCAAGTGGCCCAGAGCTCTCGGAATGACGATCAATCATAGACAGGATTACCTGCTCTTTGTGGCCACAAGGCAACTACTGCTGCAATAATCCTACATGCCTCGGCCATGCCAAAGCAGCTGATTTTTGTCATTTCCCCTCGCCCTCTCCTGAATTAATTCCAGCAGCATAACACGCTAGAAATTCCTGTACTAGTAGCTGGACAAGTCATAATCAGACACATTTACATGCACAATATATTTGGCTCAGGCATTTCACCCATGACAGGGTTAGTGGTCATTACTCTTGCTCTAGGCTAAGTTAGAAGCATGCCGCTTAGGAGAGCGTACAGAATCAGGTTTAAACCCTTGGAAAGCACCAGCAAGTTGACAGAGCTCAGGCATCACAATCTAGACTAGCAGAATGGCAGCGTACTACGGAGCTCAAACACAGAGTGTTCTGAGGCACAAACTCCAGACAGACTTTCTAGTACTGAACACACCCCGCCATCTGTGCAACATGCATGCATCTCCCAACCCAAAGCGCTGAACTTTCAACCTCTCTCCTCAGTACGGGAAGGCATTCCAAAGCTTCCTTGCCATGATCACTAGCAGATATTATTGTCAGAGTTGAAACTGTCATTCAAGTTGTTTGAAAGTCCCACAGCAAACCAAAGAACTAGGGAATGCAACAGCCCGGTCACAAAATTCACACCATGACTTATGGCTGTGGGTATTTCAAGTGGGGTTTCTTTTGGACTGTACTATTCTTGCATGGAGAATACCAGCAAAGTCCCCGTCTTCTCCAACCAGCTGATGGCTGTCGTCATGGCCCTAGAGACAGCAGCAGCAGCCACGGTTGGCGAGAAAGCAGCAATGCTCTTTGGAGAATGCCAGTAGCAAAAGCTGCTAAGGAAAGGAAGCATGAACACCTCTCTCTGTGAAGCCTCTCCCCCTCCCACTTTACATTCCCACAGAGGTGCCAGTGGGAGTCACTGAGCTAGTCTGTCCACTTACAGACACAATGTGACACTAACAAGCATTGACAGGGGACAGGAGAGGGCCTGGCCTGCAGATCTGCCACGCAGGAGGGGCAGAACTGGGGCACTGCTGTTAGACAGGTGAAGCCAACGTTTCACCAGCTGCAAATTTAGAGCGTGATCATTACGAAGGAAACTTAAGACCCCTCTGACCGGTGAAGCGCTCTAGCTACACCCAAGCCGGGAAAGTGAGAGGAGCCCAAGCAATGCGGCACTAACTGCTCTCCAAGCCCTCACCCAGTTTGTCTGAGGACGTGATAATATCAGTTGGCACGCACGAGTCCAGATCTGCATCCAAGATCCCCAGTGGGTCGAGCTGTGCTACATGATGCCCTCGAATCTATGAAATGGGCCAGGAGTGGAAAGGAAAGTGGACACCACACAGGGAGAAAGGAAAAGAAAAAAAAAAAGAGGGTAGGGATAAAAAAAGTTAAATTACATTCGAATTAATTTGCAGAGTAATTCTCACCGACGTTTGGAGAAACAGTTACTGGTGCATCATCAAAATTTACACAACTAATGCCGAGAGGATCAAGCTTTGCAATGTGATGACCCCTGACCTGGAAGCAACAACACAGATTAGTCAGTAAGCAAGTGCATTGAAGAAGATTTACACAATTTCACATCCCACCCTTGCTCCAAAGCCGCCCTCCACGAGGGAGCCAATGCGTGGAATGAACGACGTACAGCCGAGTTGGCCACACGCAGCGCCCTCGGCCAATAGGCCGGATGCGGAGTTTATTAGCTTGGATCCAGCATGCCCCTCCACCACCCCGGAGTTAGCCGGTAACGCTTCCGTCTTACAGCTCCAAGTGAGCTGTGGAGGGGGGCAGCCGAGGCGGGCGGCAGCTCTGCACAGGGACTTGTAGGCTTTGGCAGATAAACTCCCATAGTGTCTGCGAAGTAACAGGGGCAAGACTTTGACAAGCATGGACACACACGGGGAAGAGCCTCCCGGTCCCAGTCGGGCGCAGGGTTCACCTTCACGCCCCAGGAGCGAGCACAGCAGGGAGATGGGGGGCTGGCAAGCGGCTCTTATTGGGTTTCTGCTCTGACCACTAGGAAGTCCTGGGTTCATATTTAAACCCTGACCGTGGAGCCTCAGCTCCCCAGAGAGCAGCCCGGGGGCTCCCGTGGCTACGGACGCAGTGGAGAAACAGACAACACCGCAGGGCCAATCCAACACAGGCAGAGGCGAGTCTCGGAGCACAGAGAAGCGATCCCAAAGCGAGCGCAGGCCTGCCCCCACTCTGGAGCGGTCCAGGAGAGGCACCTGGTACCGTACAGCCTCTCGGAATTCAGGAACTGCCACGACTCTGTCCTGTGAGCACCACAGCATGTGAAGAGCCCGCTGCCAGGCAGCGATCAGACCAGTGCCCACTGGCAGGGAGCCTTCCTGTGAACGGCTGGCGGGTGCAGAGAACGCCAAAGAGAAGGGGCTGCTGGTTGGACTGGAAGCACAAGAGCAGCTGGCAATGCTCCAAGACTGAAGTGGGGCAGCTACGTCAGTTCCACGTGACAGAGGATCAACTGAACCAAGGAGCAGGACTTGGACAGACTGTTCAACAGGTTTGGGGCAGAAACAGCAAGTGCTCCCAGCACAGAGGATGAAACCCAAACAGGTTAATCTTCATCCGAGGGCAGCTCACACCTTCCCGCGGATGCCGTGTTCCTGACTAAGCAGGAAGTTACCCATCAAGGGCCAATCTTCACATTAGGTTTTGTTCTCATCTCAAGAGCTTTAGGCCATTAAGGCCAAGCATGGGCAGAGATACCACAGCAAGGAGCATGTGCAGACACTACAGGTGAAGTCTGTTTCTTGGTTCATCTCTGGGCTGTTACAGATGTGGGGCAGTCTTCCGTTTCGGTGAACTGTTCGACATCTTCGGGAGTGCTGCTTCTGATCTTAGAGGAGCTTGGGAAGACCTCCCTCAAAGTCAGGAAAGTGATGTGGGTGTTGCTCACCCGCGCAGAGACAGCTCCCTAACCCTCCCACAAGAGATGCAGCGCCGGAGTGGAACAGAGCTGTTCTTCTGTCTCATGCCAAACAGGTTCCTCCCGGTGAGTTACGAGTTCTTCCCTCAGAATCGACTGGGGTCATTCCCACTACCTGCTTGCTCAGCAGCCGAAACTTTGATTCTTTAACTGAACAGAGTGGAAACTGAGCAGAGGAGGGTCCGTTCGGCTGCTTATGGTTGTCAAGTAGCTCACAACTCAGAGCACTGGGCGGCAGATTTGATGGCTGTTTGAGTTCTGATCTGAGTCGACAGGTAAATCTTAAGCCCCCGAATGACTGTGGGAACTGCCCAACAGGGAGAGGTTAGTCTCCCAGGAGGCAGCAAGTTTCCTTTATCCTCTCCATCGAGCACAAAGCAGCTCTGCACTGCAGACATGCTGACCCGTGTAGGCAGGCATGAGCGCAGCAAGGTACAGAATTCCACCTGAGTGGGTGGCAGGACTAGCTCCCTCATTAAAATCATACAAAGGCAGATTGTTTTCCCTGCCTCAAAACACGCCTCTACCAGCCATTACAAAAATTAATTAGATGCTAACTACTGGTCTGATTAGAAAGTAAACCATCACCGCTGCCACCCCAGAACTCAGCAGAGTAGGGTTACTGACTTTTCCCCTAGAATTAAACTGGGATGCTCCATTTCAATCCAGTTAAGGTGGAAATTCACGTGCTATGCCACTTCCCTACATGGAAAGATGGCCGGGCATGACTTCCCTAGAACAGTAACAGATGTAGCCGTGAGAGTCTGGTCTAGCTGAAATAAAAGACAGGACGATGCAGCACTTTAAAGACTAGCAAGATGGTGTATTAGGTGAGGAGTTTTCGTGGGCCAGACCCACTTCCTCAGATCATTTTCCCTAGAATAGTTATGGCAACAGAACTCACCCTCTTATTCTGACATTTCAAAGGCAGGGGCGGGGAGAGCGAGATGGGGACTGGCTGCCAGAAATGGGATTTAAAGAACAGAAAAACAAGCGACCCGACCTCAGGCTGGATTGCGTAAACAACTAAAATGCAAGTCACCTGCTTCTCTCAAATTAGGAAGGGGCTGGCACTGAGTGCAGCTGCTAACAAGTTAGGATGGAACTGGAAGCAGACCGGAGGGGAGGCTGCTGCCATGCAGGCAGCCAGGCAGATCCAAAATGCTCTACAGCAGATTTCAACTTGACCTTGAGCAGTGGCTTGATGTTGGCCCTAGCGCCAGTGCCCATGCATTAGCAGGCAGGGCATGAGCCCAGTACTGAAGACCTGACGACCTGCGCCATGAGCACGCGAGGCCTAGAGTCCTGCAGAGGAGACACATGGCTCTGTAGCAGGAGCTCAACAGCTGTATTAGCTGAGCTCAATGCAGCTCCCCCAGCGGGGAGACAGGCCAGGTAACAAAGATTTGCATACAGGAGGATTCTCAAACTGGCTGGGAAAAGAAGCCTAGCCCTTAGGAAGTGTTGGCTTCAGCCAGTTTCCCAGGCAACAGTTCCAAATGTGATCAGGCTCCTGCAATGCCTAAAGCGAGCCCAACTTCTGCTAAGGAATCTCCCATCGGAAGCACCAGGCAGCCGCTGGGCGATGAGAAACAAGAGTTCAGAATAAGGCGCTCGGAGCAACAGTCAGCAGTTTTACAAACCCACGACAGAGGCTGCTGGTCCAGGGAGTGGTCCAATGTGTGTAGCACTGAAAGGGGATCAGAGGAGATCACCTGCTGTTGTAAAGTGTGTAAGTCCTGAGAGACTTGTCCATTAGAAAGATCACAGGCTTGATAAAGCGGAGGACAATTAAAAATGCCGGTGGCGGCAGCAGGGGAACTACTAAACCACAGGAGGAGGGAGGGGAGGTAAAATTAAAGAGCATCTTGAGAAAATCCAGCCTCTCCAAGTAAATCAGAAGCAGTGTAGATTCCATAGCTTATAGAGGGTCTCTCCAAGAGCCTGCCTGCTCCTGACAGGCCCATTTTTGGCATCAAGCCTTCTATTATCTGAGTGTTTTGGCCAGCAGGACATTTCAGTATATTTAAGTAGCCAGCAATAGTGTGGCCTTTCCCTTGCTACAGGTGAGAAATACCCCCACATGAAAGTGCAGGCTGTAACAGGGATTACTCCTCGAAGTACAGCACTCTTGCACTGCAGCATGTTTTAAGCTAGGGTGGAAGTGGGGGATGAAACCTCTCCAGAGACGAAATACCGGGTACCAAACAGTCATGGGTGGATAAAAGTATGGCTTGCTGGTTTTGCAGTTGCAATTAGGTGGCTTTTACACAGACGAGCAAGGGACCACTCTTAGCTGAACTCACCATGAAAATGCAACAACAGCTGGGATGGCGGGGGCCTTTTCCGGCACCCCCAGTTTACAGGGCCACTGCAAGCAGGCGGCTCAGTCACCAGCATACATGCTGATGCGGGAATCGCGTGTAGAGCAGCAGCAGGGCTGGTCCTGCACTAGGCTGCGCTGCAGCTGGGAGGCGCAGACACGAGTACCCGGTGCATGGCAGCGCCCATGTGAGCTACGGGTAGCAGAGATCACGAAGGAGCAAACCCTGAACAGAGGCCCAGCATCCATTCGCCACCGCCACACGCGGGTTCTTACCTGATAGGCCCTGATAAGAGACTGCACTGCAAGATGGTCTTCCACTAGTTTATCTACATTGGGCTGCGCGTGGACCAGGGACTGGGCTTGCGTCAGTGTGGACAGGCTGGTGCCCAGCGGAGGGGGGCTTTGGTAAGCGGTGCCTGGAACAGCTCCAGCATTGGCATTGCGAAAGAAAATATCCCATGACTGCGGAGAGAAAAGGGAAAGGCAGAGTGAGCCACTGCAAACAAGGTCAAAAGCATTAATGCCCCCCGGCCCCGTCAGCAATAGCACTAGGCCTGATCCACAGTCCAGCTTCACCGCTCAGGGCGTGACAGATCCATACGCCTTAACGACATTGTCAAGCTGGCCTAGCCCCTACCGTAGACAAGCCTGGGGGGAGGGGGGGGGAATAGGTTGCCTACCTGCCACAGCCCAGCCGCT